GATGGCCATCCAGCCTCCAAAGGAACCACACTCCCTCCGGGGCAGAAAGAGAGAGAGAGTTCCACTGTCGAACAGCTCTCTCTCTCTCTCTCTCTCACACACACACACACACACAGAGGAAATTCTTCCTCATGTTCAGGTGGAATCCCTTTCTTTCCTCTAGTTTGAAGCCATTGCTCTCTTGCGTCCTAGTCTCCAGGGCAGTGTGAAATCTGTATGATTCTCCAATATTAGGAGTTCCCCTTACTTCCTTCTATCATTCGTTCTTTTCTTCCTCCCTCCCTCCTTTTCTTCTTTCATTCTGGATCCATTCCCTTCCTTTTTCAGACTCACTAGCTGTACCCGGCCACGCCTTGCTGTGGCCCATTGTGGAGAAATGGGAAAGAAAGAAAATCATTTATTTATTTTATTTATTTATTTACTATTCTTGTATACCGCTGTATCTCAAGCCCGAGGGCGACTCACAGCGGTTTCCAAACAGCAAAGACAATAAAAACAGCAATAATCAATATACAAAACAGTTAAATTACACAGTTCCATTAATAACCAATAAGCAATCAACAATACACAAGTATCACAATCCCATCCCCGATCGCCTCATCATCCAAGCGTGATCCAAATTCGTCGTCCATTGTTCCGTTCCTATATTCAAATTACCAAAATTGCACTGAATTACTCAAACGCCTGCACAAACATCCAGGTCTTGAGCTTTCTACGGAATGTCATGAGCGATGGTGCCAGCCTAACGTCTACAGGAAGGGCGTTCCACAGCCGAGGAGCCACTACCGAGAAGGCCCTATTTATTTATTTATTTATTTAGTACATTTGTATACCGCTAGTATCTCAGCCTAAACGGCGACTCACTGCGGTTTACAGCATTTAAAAACAGCAATATTCAGATTAAAAATATAAAACACATACATATATAATAAACAGTATTGGGCCACCAATACAGACCAATGCATCTCTTAAATGAAAATCATAATCCAATTCATTGTCGGTAATTGCCAGTCCTTAATCAGAAACATCATCGCGTCGAATTAGCCGAACGCTTGCTCAAACATCCATGTCTTTAGTTTTTTCCGAAATATCATCAGTGAGGAGGCTGATCTTATCTCTATAGGGAGGGCATTCCAAAGCCGCGGGGCCACCACAGAAAAGGCCCTGTCTCTCGTTCCCGCCAGCCGCACCTGTGAAGCAGGCGGGATAGAGAGAAGGGCCTCTCCCGAAGATCTTAGGGTCCTGGTGGGCTGATAGGCCGAGATACGTTCGGATAGATATGTTGGGCCAGAACCGTTTAGGGCTTTAAAGGCCAATGCCAGCACTTTGAATTGGATCCGGTAGCTAATCGGCAGCCAGTGGAGCTGGTACAGCAGAGGAGTTGTATGCTCCCTGCGCCCTGCTCCTGTTAGTACCATGGCTGCCGCCCGTTGGACTAGTTGGAGCTTCCGAGCCGTCTTCAAAGGCAACCCCACGTAGAGAGCGTTGCAGTAGTCAAGGCGGGATGTAACCAGAGCGTGGACTACCGTGGCCAAGTCAGACTTCCCAAGGTACGGTCGCAGTTGGCGCACGAGTCTTAACTGTGCGAATGCTCCCCTGGTCACCGCTGAAACCTGGGGATCCAGGCTCAGCGATGAGTCCAGGATCACACCCAAACTGCGAACCTGTGTCTTCAGGGGGAGTGCGACCCCGTCTAACACAGGCTGTAACCCTATACCCTGTTCGGCCTTGCGCCTGACCAGGAGTACCTCTGTCTTGTCTGGATTCAATTTCAATTTGTTCGCCCTCATCCAGACCGTCACAGCGGCCAAGCACCGGTTCAGGACCTCGACAGCCTCCTTAGTAGCAGGTGGAAAGGAGTGACAGAGTTGGACATCATCTGCGTACAGATGACACCGCACCCCGAAACTCCGGATGATCTCGCCCAACGGCTTCATGTAGATGTTAAACAACATGGGGGACAGTATTGAACCCTGAGGAACCCCACAAAACAAGGGTTGTGGGGTAGAACAGGAGTCCCCCAATAACACCTTCTGCGACCGACCCTCGAGGAATGACTGGAGCCACTGCAAAGCAGTACCTCCAAGGCCCATTCCCGCGAGGCGTCCCAGAAGGATACCGTGGTCGACGGTATCGAAGGCCGCTGAGAGGTCGAGTAGCACCAACAGGGACACACCCCCGTTCCACAGCCGAGGAGCCACCACCGAAAAGGCCCTATCTCTCGTCCCCGCCAACCGTACTGAGAGGCAGGCGGGATCGAGAGCAGGGCCTCCCCGGAAGATCTCAAAGTCCTGGTGGGTTCATAGGCAGAGATGCGGTCGGATAGGTATCTTGGGCCGGAACCGTTTAGGGCTTTATAGGCCAATACCAACACCTTGAATTGAGCCCGGTAGCAAATCGGCAGCCAGTGGAGCTGGTACAACAAGGGTGTTGTATGCTCCCTGCGTCCCGCTCCTGTTAGTATCATGGCTGCCGCGCGTTGGACTAGGTGAAGCTTCCGGGCCGTCTTCAAGGGCAGCCCCACGTAGAGAGCGTTGCAGTAGTCAAGGCGGGATGTGACCAGAGCGTGTACTACCGTGGCCAAGTCAGACTTCCCAAGGTACGGGCGCAGCTGGTGCACGAGCCTGAGCTGTGCAAATGCTCCCCTGGTCACCGCTGAAACCTGGGGATCCAGGCTCAACGATGAATCCAGGATCACACCCAAGCTGCGAACCTGCGCCTTCAAGGGGAGTGCGACCCCATCCAGCACAGGCTGTAACCCTATATATAATCACTAGAATCCAAGAGTTGGAAGAGACCTCCTGGGCTATCATCCAGTCCAACCCCATTCTGCCAAGAAGCAGGAATATTGCATTCCAATCACCCCTGACAGATGGCCATCCAGCCTCTGCTTCAAAGCCTCCAAAGAAGGAGCCTCCACCACACTCCCTCCGGGGCAGAGAGGAAGAGGAAGGGCTGGTTTCTAAGCTATCAATACTCAAGGGAAGTGGCAAAGCGTCAACCTAATAGAGGCCCATTTCAGTCTCCTTGAGGCCAAAGGGTTATTCTATGGATGTGTGGAAGGGCCCTGGGTGACCTGAGTCCACACTGCCATATAACCCAGTTCAAAGATATTATATAGGTATTATTGTTGTTATTACAGATGTATAAATGTTATTATAGGCATGTACATAGTATTATTATAGACACAGATATTATTAAAGGCATGTAGGTATTATTATTATAGATTTTATTTATTTATTTTGCATCAAAAGCATTGTATAAATTAGTATAAAACAGATTAAAAATAGAAGGAGTTTTAGCAGGTATTTAGCAGGAATAGATATTTAGCAGGACTAAATGTCTTTCAAGCAGAAACCAGTAACGGATGTATGGATATTATTACAGACCTATAGATATTATTATAGGCATATAGATATTATATGTGTCTATAGATATTATTATTATAGATATTGTAGGCATATAGGTATTATTATTATAGATGTATAGATATTATTGACAGACAGATATTATAATTATAGATATATAGATATGGATATTATTATGGACCTATAGATATTATTATAGACATGTAGATATTGTTATAAACATATAGATATCATAGACATGTGTGTGTGTGTATATATTGTAGACTTATAGATATTATTATGCTAGATATATAGATATTATTATTGTAGATATATTATAGCCTAGGATTGCGATAAAGTGAAAATGGATGGCCATCTTCAGGAGTGTTTTGATTGTGCCTTCCTGGACAGCCTTTTCTAACTCACAGAGTGTGCATTTTTGTCCTTTCTTTGAATACTGGACTTCATTTCCCAGAATTCCTTCCCATAACTCAATATGGATTAGTTTTCTGGGCACACACACACATACACACAGAATCCCTCCCGTGACAGCCAAGACCCAAGAGGGAAAGGAAAAGAAGGAAAGGGGGGTGGATCTGGAGGAGGGTGTTCTCTCTCTCTCTCTCTCTCTCCCTCCTTCCCTCCCTCTCTCTCTCTCGCTCTGAATCCTTTGGGAAGAGGGATATACTGGCCACCTTTCCCCCCCTCTCTCAAGTGGTTCTCTCTCTCAGCTGTGGGGTTTTTCCCCCTCGTCCAGGAGGGAAGGGCAGGGGAGGGTGTTCTTTTAACACACGCTCTGTATAGGCATTTAGGCTTGTGGGCGTTTACGTTCTTTCCGGAGTTTTTTTTTGTGTGTGTGTTTTTTGAGTGAAGGACATATATTGCTTTAGTTGTTGTCTTGTGTTCAGATTTGGTGTCAATTTGTCAAGTGGTTTCTGAGTTAATCCCACTCCTCTGTTGCGCCAGCTCCACTGGCTGCCAATCTGCTACCGGGCACAATTCAAGGTTTTGGCTTTAGCCTATAAAGCCCTAAACGGTTCTGGCCCAACTTACCTGTCGGAACGCATCTCTCCTATGAACCGACTAGGACATTAAGATCGTCTGGGGAGGCCCTGCTCTCGGTCCCACCCGCATCGCAGGCGCGGTTGGCGGGGACGAGAAACAGGGCCTTCTCGGTGGTGGCCCCTCGGCTATGGAACGCCCTACCTGTGGACATCAGACAGGCCCTCTCATTGCTGGCATTCCGGAGGAAGGTCAAGACCTGGCTTTATGAACAAGCGTTTGGCTAATTGTGCAATGAAACACAGTAAGATGGTACAACTGAACATAGGAATTGGTATAAAGGACTATGATTGCGGATTCTGATTTTGATTTGCTTGCTGAGGCGCACGTCTATGTTAATTGATTGCTTGATTTGATATGTTCTGTATAATGTGTTTTAACTGCTTTTTGATATTGTTGTGTTAACCTTTACTATGTAAACCGCCTTGAGTCGCCTTTTTTGGCTGAGAAAGGCGGTATAGAATTAAAGCAAATTAATTAATTAATTAATTAATCCCACAAATGAACATTACACTTTTATTTATATAGATTGATTGCCTTAGCTGGTATCTGTGTGTGCGCCAATGCCTGTGATGTTCTGATATTGGAAGGCGTTCTTAATATTTCCATGTTCAACATGACCCATGAAGGGAAAGGGAACATCTTGGAAGGAAAGAAGGTTTTCATCTTTCATTCTTAATCTTTGGCTTCTTTCTTGACCAGGGAAATGAGGATTCTACGGAGCCACCTCTGGGATGCAGGAAGGAGACCAAGAAGAGAGGAAGGAGACATCCTCTCAAGGTGATGATCTCGCTGAATTCTTCACCTCACTTACTGGAGAGAAAAAGGAAGAAAGAAGAGTCAACCATCTGTGTTGCAATTAAGTACACATTCCATTGTTGATATGGAGGAGAAAGCATACAAATGCTCAGAGTGTGGAAAGGGTTTCACTCGCAAGGCTCATCTTCAGCGACATGAAAGGACCCACACGGGGGAGAAGCCCTATGAATGCCTGGATTGTGGGAAGAGCTTCACCGACACTGGAAGTTTACATTTACATCAGAGGACTCACACTGGGGAGAAACCCTACAAATGCCTGGAGTGTGGAAAGAGCTTCACTAAGAGTGCAAATCTACATTCACATCAAAGAACCCACACTGGGGAGAAACCCTATGCATGCCTGGAGTGTGGAAAAAGCTTCACTCATAGTGCAACTCTACGTTCACATCAAAGGGCTCACACTGGGGAGAAACCCTATACCTGCCTGGAATGTGGAAAGAGCTTCACTCAGAGTGGGAATCTACATTTACATCAAAGGACTCACACTGCTGAGAAACCTTATAAATGCCTGGAATGCGGAAAGAGCTTCATTCAGAGTGCTGCTCTAAATTCACATCAACTAACTCACTCAGGGGAGAAACCCTATACGTGCCTGAAGTGTGGAAAGAGCTTTACTGATAGTTCAAGTCTACATAAACATCAGAGGACTCACTCTGGAGAGAAACCCTATACATGCTTGGAGTGTGGACAGAGTTTTACTGACAATGGAAGTCTACGTTTGCATAAACGGACTCACACTGGGGAGAAACCCTATAAATGCCTGGAATGTGGACAGAGTTTCACTTATAGTTCAAGTCTACGTTCACATCAAAGGATTCACACTGAGGAGAAACCCTATCCATGCTTGGAGTGTGGACAGAGCTTCACTTGGAGTTCAGGTCTACGTGTACACCAAAGGACTCACACTGGGGAGAAACCTTATAAATGTGTGGACTGTGGACAGAGCTTCACTGGGAGTGGAAGTCTGCGTTCACATCAAAGGATTCACACTGGGGAAAAACCTTACAAATGCCTGGAGTGTGGACAGAACTTCACTTGGAGTTCAAGTCTACGTTCGCATCAAAGGACGCACACTGGGGAAAAGCCCTATGAATGCCTGGAGTGTGGAAAGAGCTTCACTGAGAGTGGAAGTCTGCGTTCCCATCAAAGGACTCACACTGGGGAGAAAACCTATAGATGCCTGGAGTGTGGACAGAGTTTCACTCATAGATCACGTCTATGTTCACATCAAGGGACTCACACTGGGGAGAAACCTTAGAATTCCCTGGAGTGTGGACAGGGCTTCACTCAGAATGGAAGTCTACCTAGACATCAAAGGACACACACTGGGGAGAAACCCTATAAACCAGTGATTTTCAACTTGTGGGTTCTCAGGTGTTTTGGCCTACACTCCCAGAAATCCCAACCAGTTTACCAGCTGTTAGGATTTCTGGGAGTTGAAGGCCAAAACATCTGGGGACCCACAGGTTGAGACCCACTGCTATAAACACATGTAGTGTAAAAAAGAACTTACCTGAGAGTTCAAATTGACATCGTATTCACATTGGAGAGAACAGTGGAGTTTGACCCCCGAGAGACTCTGATGACAGAGCTTTCCAAACTTTTCATGTTGGTGACATACTTTTTAGACATATATCCTTTCACAACATGGTAATTCAGTTTATTTATTTACTTACTTACTTAGAACATTTATATTCCGCCCTTCTCACCCCGACTCCGGGGACTCAGGGCGGAGCACAGCATGTATACGGCAAACATTCAGTGCCAAGACAAGAATTCATTATATGCATGCATAAGCATTAAAAACCTTTGTCTCAATATTAAAATACACTGTTCCAATCCGTCTTGATCAACTGCATCTGATGTAATTGGCCTGGTAAGGTTTGACTAGCAACCCGGAGGATAAACCAACCACATATTAGATTCTTAATCTATATAATGAACAAAATATATTGAGGTAAGTTAATTATCTTTCCTGTATAAACTTCAAACAAAACTATTTGCATCATACGAGCAGGATATAACATATTCACATTTCCCCACAAAATGTGTAGAAAACAACATAGACAATTTATTTATTTATTTACTTACTTACTTACTTTGCTTATATACCGCTGTATACAGGTAAAGGTTTTCCCCTGACATTATGTTGTGTCTGACTCTGGGGGTTGGTGCTCATCTCCATTTCTAAGCCAAAGAGCCGGCATTGTCCATAGACACCTCCAAGGTCATGTGGCCACAGGCAGGACTGCATGGAGAAGGCTGAGAGGAGATATGATAGCCATGTATAAATATGTGAGAGGAAGCCACAGGGAGGAGGGAGCAAGCTTGTTTTCTGCTTCCTTGGAGACTAGGATGCAATGGAACAATGGCTTCAAACTACAAGAGAGGAGATTCCATCTGAACATGAGGAAGAACTTCCTGACTGTGAGAGCCGTTCAGCAGTGGAACTCTCTGCCCCGAGAGTGTGGTGGAGGCTCCTTCTTTGGAAGCTTTTAAACAGAGGCTGGATGGCCATCTGTCAGGGGGTGATTTGAATGCAATATTCCTGCTTCTTGGCAGAATGGGGTTGGACTGGATGATGGCCCAGGAGGTCTCTTCCAACTCTTTGATTCTATGATTCTATGAGTGCCGTTACCTTCCCGCTGGAGTGGTACCTATTCATCTACTCACACTTTCATATTTTTTGAACTGCTAGGTCGCCAGAAGTTGGGGCGAACAGCAGGAGCTCATGCCACTCCCAGGATTCGAACCTGCAACCTTTTGATCAGCAAATTCAGCAGCTCAGTGGTTTAACCCACTGCGCCACCGGGGACGGGGGAGTCTGCAATGTATACAATGGTTATATATATATAACAAGAAAAATATTCATATATATTTGCCCCTTTCCAGTGTCGCTAATTGTCTACACCTTATTAATTCCATACTCGTCTCCTACTTATATCCATCCCTGTTGGGGCTTCCCCCCCTCTCCCTTTCACCCCCTCCCGTAATTCCTTTCTTGTTCTCAATTTTCCACTGCAATATTTGATCTGTTGCGGTATCTGGACCATTCCTCCTCTTCCACTCTTTTGTGACATTACATGCACTATTTTTATCCTGCATTATTGTGTTTATATGTTTTATCTGTTTTAGAATTTGATATGGTATATTCATTATTGTATGTATAATGTGGCATTGAACTTTTGCTGTAATTTGTACGCTGTTCTGAGTCCCCTTCGGGGTGAGAAGAGCGGGGTATAAATATAGGAAGTAAGCAAGTAAGTAAGTAAGTAAATATAGGAAGTAAATAAATAAATACAGTTAGTAAGTAAGTATATAAATTTCAAAGCAGGGAACTTTGAAATAGAATAATAGAATCCTAGAGTTGGAAGAGACCTCATGGGCCATCCAGTCCAACCCCATTCTGCCAAGAAGCAGGAATGTTGCATTCAAATCACCCCTGACAGATGGCTCTCCAAAGAAGCTCTCCAAAGCTTTAGGTGCTCTTAAACCAGCTGATTCCTAATGTCAGGAGTCAATTTCTGACGGCATGAAGACATCGCAGATTCCCTCCGTGACATCCTGGCTGAATCAATTCTCTCTTTGTGACATTTTGAAGCCAGCAGAAGGCGCTGGAAACCTTGTATTGGAACTTGTGAAGCAACAAGTTCTAATAAGGAAACTGAGAAGAGAGGGGAAGAGATGGGCAGGAAAGGTGTCTCAAAGGAAGTGGTGGTGGGGAAAAGTCCGTAGTGTCTTTCTTTGCTGCAGAGATACAAGCAATATATCCATTTCAAAGCAGAACCGGCTTGTGAGTGGTTATTTAATATTGCTATATAGATTCTAAAGGACATCTGTCCTTTTATTTGGCAACCCTGTTGCTGTACAGTGGGACACATCTCACCATGCGTAGTGGATGTGGCTCTTAATGAGACGTGGCGCATTAGCACAGGATGTCTATGCCCTACACCACTGGAGAAATTACACTGTTTAGCCAGTATCCCATCATAGAATCCTAGGGTTGGAAGAGACCTCGTGGGGCATCCAGTCCAACCCCATTCTGCCAAGAAGCAGGGGGGAAGGAAGGGGTCTGAGGCCGTGAGGAATGGTGGGAGTTGGAGTCCGAAACCCCTGGAGGGAGGGAGGGACGAAGTTGGCCCATACCTGCTATAGAATCACCTGAGTCACCATTGGCACCAGAACACGCATAGGCATACACACATACTAACCTAGCATCAGAGGTACCAAGGGATATCCAGGTCAGGTAATTTGTTATGCTATTTATTTATTTGAAAGTCAGTATTTGCTTTTCTTTTTTTTTTCTGACTGCACCCGCTAGGAAATGCGTAAGGATGAGGTTGAACTACAACTCCCAGTATTGTAGGGCAATTCCCCGGAACCTCCCCCTCCCCCCAAGAGTATCCAAATTTGGCCATGTTGGGTGTGTGGCCACACTTGGTCCCAATCAATTGTTGATGGGAATGCTCTTTGCGGGCAAACTACAATTCCCAGATTCAGGGGCCAATCACCTCCAAACCCCGCCAGTATTCACAGTTGGCCGTGTTGGGTCTGTGGGCCAAGTTTGGTCCAGAAGCACCATTGGTTGGATTCCTAGTTGCGGGGAATTGTCCTTGGTCCTGGGAGCTGTAGTTCCCTCGCACCCATAGAGCACGGTGAACCCATCCCACGATGGAACTGGACCGAACTTGGCACACAGACCCACGTGGAGAACTTGGGGTCCCAGTGTGGTTGGAAGAATAACAGCGGGTAACAGGAGTTGCTGTTGACCCTTGGCATTTTATTTATTTACTACTAGCCATCTCTTGCCACACGTTGCTGTGGCCCAGGCTGTGCATATGTGTTTTGTGTGTATATGTGTGTGTGTATTTGTGTACTTACTTACTTAGGCAATCCCTTGTTTTCTGAGTAAGATTGTCCTCCAGGTTCGGTGTTTGTGTATACCAGGACTTTGGCGCAGCTGGCTGGGTGTCAGCTGCATTAAGATCACTACTGACTGAAAGGTCATGAGGTTGAAGCCAGCCTGGGTCGGAGTGAGCTTCCGGCCAATTGTGTAGCTTGTTGTCGACCTTTGCAACCCAAAAGACAGTTGCCTCTGCCAAGTAGGAAATGTAGGTGCCACCTTTGTGTGGGGAGGCTAATTTAACTAATTTATGAGGCCATAAAAAATCTCCAGCAAAAGCATGCGGGGAATGTGGAAAGTACTTCATCCGTGTCGCAGATGGATGGGGAAGCGACAGCTCCCCTGATGGCCAGAAAATTGGAATGTTAAGTAGCTTCTGAGTGTCTGTCGATCGATATGTGTTGTGTGTCTGTGGCATTGCATGTTTGCCATGATGTGTACATTGCAATCCACCCTGTTTGCCTGCGGGGCGAGAAGGGCGGAATAGAAGTACTGTCAATAAATACATTATATTTATTTATTTATTTATTTACCTTACTTATATGCCGCTGTTCTCAGCCCGAAGGCGACTCACAGCGGTTCACAACAAATACGAACAGCAAAAATTCAGTGCTACAGTATAGAAACAGTTAACAACCTAACACATTACACAATTAATAAACAGTTACTACAATACCCATTCACTGTCGTCTCGTCATCAAAAACATGTTCCAGATTCGTCATCCATTGTTCCATTCCAGTGTTCATTAACCAATCATTGCACTAATTATTCGAACGCCTGCTCAAACAGCCAGGTCTTCACCTTTTTGCGGAATACCATTAGAGATGGTGCTAGTCTAATGTCCGTAGGAAGGGCGTTCCACAGCCGAGGAGCCACCACCGAGAAGGCCCTATCTCTCGTCCCCGCCAGCCGAGCTTGAGAAGCAGGCGGGATTGAGAGCAGGGTCTCCCCGGAAGATCTCAAAGTCCTGGTGGGTTCATAGGCAGAGATGCGGTCAGATAGGTAGCTTGGGCCGGAACCGTTTAGGGCTTTAAAGGCCAACATGCCAGCACTTTGAATTCAGCCCGGTAGCCAGTGGAGTTGGCGCAACAGGGGGGTTGTATGCTCCCTGCGCTCCGTTATTTTATTGTCCATATGTGTGTGTGTGAGTGTGTGAATAGATGTGGTTTTGTATATATTTGCATTGTACTGTAATTTTTATTTTTGGCCTTTGAAGTCCCTTCTGCTGTGTTTTTAGGAGTGATGGCCACTCCTTGGCCTGAGAGGTGTCCTGTGTCTCCGGATTTGGTCTCTCTGTCAGTCCCACCAAGGAACATGACATTTCCATTTGTGTAGAGGATCCTTGCATGCCGCCCTTCTCGGCCCTTGGCCGACTCTGGGCGGTTTCCAATGGCCACGATTTGAGGCCCCAAAACACCACCGCACATTTAAGAGCATTAACACAGGGTATAAAACCACCACCACC